GATAAAATAAATCAATCTTGCGAACAATTTCGATTATCCAATAATATTTTTCCCATGTGATGAGATGATCTACAAAATCAGCCAATTACAATGAAAGCCCGCTATGCTGATCTTACCGGTATTTATCCTATTAAACTCAATCAGTATAATTTTTCTGTTATTATACCGACAAGTCCGTTGCGCGCAAAATCCGAAGGCTTTTGTTGAAAAAACAAAATTATCTTCCAAAAGATTGCTGATTACCAAGAATATGTTGACAGTTATTGCCACATAACTGTCATTCTCTATACGGATCGGATTATTCTCAGTAAAATTCGGCCCGTCGAATTTTGGTACATAGTCAAACCTATATTGGTTTGCCATGTCGAAAAAGTTGGTCCACATATTAACCCTAGTTGGGATTAGACCGCCCACGTACCGAGTTGTCCGAGATTCGCTGGTATCCTCTGGATACCAAACAGATGGTGGAATGTAAGACAATGCTTGCTCTTGACTGAGCTTTTTTCACAATTCTGTAATAAATCAATACAAATTAATATATTTGAGTAAAATGAAATATTATGAAAAAAAAACTCCCCAGATGTCAATTATTGCCTTACCGGGTTCGGTGGAATTTCTTTTCTTAGCTGATGTGGGTGCGGTATTATCATCCGCATCAGATTCATTGGATCTCCTCTTGGTTACGTTGGCCAGTGGTTCGAAATCTAATCCACTTACCAACCTACTGGCCGTCTTTAAATCCTCCTTTAAAGAGAAGGTTATGTTGTGAGAAAACGTAATTCAGATAGTAGAACACAAAATTAAAGAACAGAATAGATAGATGCGGTCGTACCAATATTAATGTTCCTTCTTCGTTCAGACACCATTTTTCGACGAAGTAGACAAAAAGGAGAAGATCGTTTCTTGTGTATATTTCAACTGAGCTTTTAGGTGAAAATTTTAAAAATGCATTTTCGTCGATTTGTGCATTTTATATGTAAACAAATCAGGTGAGTTGTATAAAAAGGTACACATGAATGACTTCTTTTTATGGGTTGAATCAATCGTGTAAAAAACAGGAGGGAACGTACGTACGTACCCGATCCAAAGTGAATCCCGATCTATTAAAACTAAAATTATTTCTGTATTTATTTTAATTGATCACACCATATCAGATATCTGATATGTGAGATCGGGTACGATACGTACGTACGTAACGTATTCATTTTTTTTAAAATCACTACAATCTAATTTGATCATGTTACTCATATTAATACTTATCACGGTATATCAATAATCTTTATTTTTTTATGCTTTTGTATCTTAAAGGCTTTATATTAATCGCTTGAGTTGCCAGAAAAAACTCGCTGGCTAAAAAAAAAAAAAAAAAAAAAGAATAGAAAAAATAAACAAATAAACCTTAGTTAATAACTAATAAAATACGTTGCTATTAAATAAAATTAGAACCGTGAATAAACAATTTAGCGTTATTCCCTGATAACTATTAGGGGGTTTCAGACCTAAGGTTCAAGTTTCTGATTTCGAATTAAATATTAATTTTGTAATCAACGATTATTTATTTTTATTTGCAAGCCTACTATATAACAAGATATAATATACATTATCAAAAAAAGGTTGTTTATTTTATCTTTGGATAACTCCTTTTTGTTTTCTGATTTCGAAATTTCAAACCAAAAATAAGACTTTTCAAGCCCCCGCTTATTTTCAAATTAAGTTAACTCTGAAACCCCATTAAATTAAATAAACTTCGGGTTTTAAGTTTATTAGTATTTATTATTAAATGTATATTAGTGCACTACATATCAACTCTAATGAGAAATCGCTTGATGCTACTGTAACGATTAATTTTACCTGTGTCTTCTCACTTCCGTATTAGTATAATTCTTTAAGTCGTCACTCACCTTCCATAATTGTACCATCATAGTCATGTTAATCTTACCCTTGTAGTATTAGGCATTATTATGTATTCTTGGTAGCTTAATTCATGCAAGAGCGTTTACGCTCAAAATAGAGCGTCTACGTTCAAAGTAGAGAGTATACGCGATTGCACTAATTTGTAATCATTGCGCCGTGGAATCTATAGCGTAAGCGTTGAGATCCCATGATGACAATCTGTAAAATTAGAATGCATATAAGAGTGCGTCTTCATCCTTAGTTGAGGATAACATTCGCTCTCCCAAAATTCCTCAATAAATAAAGCTCATAT